TTTCTATTAATTTTACTAGGGTTTGGGGAGGAGAGTCAATGATCCGTCTTTACCCATCAATTCCTTTGCCTTACTCTAAATTACTAAAAATCAAATATAAATATTCTTTGAGGTAATTCTCACATTAAAGGCCAATTCTGAAATGAAACTTGTCAAGTCTGAATCAGGTCTAGAATCAGGTCTGATTCTAGAAGGATAACCATACAGTTTTTAATTTAAAAAGAGGCTTCTTAATTTGATAAATTGGTAAATTCCATTATTTGTAAATGAAATAAGTAATTTAAAAACAGTAGTCTTTTTTTTTTAACCATCCTAGTGTTTCAATTTCCTATATCATTTTTATGCTTCACTTTTTTCTCATGTCACTCATTTTCTCATACACTAATTACTAGTATTTTCACTAGAACACATGACTTTTTGTCCACGAAAGCAAGCATATACTGGGTAACCTGTGAACTGCCAGGAGTTTTTTGATGGTCCAGCAGCAGATAGTAACCACTTTCACATACTCAACTCAGGAATGATTTTCTTTCTATTGGGAGGATTGGCTTTGGATGAATGCACAGCTTTTGAAGAGACTCACCTGGAACTCTGAGAAAGGAAGAGGATGACATGCTGGCTGAATCAACCCAACAGGCAGTGAGGTGTAGGAGCTACAGTGAAATAAGGCCTCACTGTAGAAAATTCACTGATTTTGAACAAGACCTCTATAGTCTGTTTACCATCAATGGGCAGAGAAATTTCACCCACATTTCACTACTCATAGTGCAATCTGGAAAAACTTCATGAGCTTTGGTCCACACAGACACAGACACATTATCTGATGCTTATACAAATGTAAATGTATTCCCAGCCCCGTGAAAGCTGCATTTTTGTGAGTGGCAACTCTTCTGACTTATTTTATGTTAATTCTAGGACATAACCACTTCCTCTTTCTCAGTTCTATGAAAAACAACTATGCCAAGGAGCTGTGAGGCTAAAAAACAGAAAATAACTACATTAAGTAAACTGTTTCTTCTTTGATTCAGATTGGTCTGGCTGATATCAGTGTCATTTCAGAAGTAGCCAAGGTGGGCAGAGGTATGTGTGTGCAGATTACAGATGCAACTTCCTGATAGATTGGGAGACAGAGGACAGAAAGCAAGGTGATGAGAGCCAGGATTCTGGGCCAGCAGGTCTGGTTTTGAAACTTGATACCACCACTTTCCAGCTTCAAGATGTTAAGCAAATTACTTTCTTAAATCTGTCTTTGTATCAGATGCTATATACAAAAGATGAATATAATATTTATCTAATAATTTTGATAATTTGATTGATTTAAATGATATATGAGAGATATTTATGAAATTTTTGTTTCATAATATTTATGAAAATTTATCTCTATCTACACACACACACACACACACACACACTTAACAGTGCCTAACACATAGTAGTAAGTCCTCAAAAAGCTGTTAAATTATACACAAGAAACCAGTATGTGGTACTTTTTGACTTACAGTAAGGCAAAGTGTTCTTGGTAAGCCCAATTTTTAGTTAATTCTAAAAGCTGTTTCATTCTAAACCTATGTTTTCTTTTGGACTGCTCTGAGGATTAAATTAAGATATAGTCCATGCCATTTATTATTCCTTCCACAAATATCTTTGTAAATAACATGATAGTCACTCCCTTAATAAGCTCAACATACTGGTATAACTTATTATATTAGTCTGTAAGCAAGAACTCACTCAGTATCATTGAAGGGGCACAGAGTCATTCATGAGTGATCCAAACACCTCCCACCAGACCCCACCTCCAACACTGGGGATCAAATTTCAACATGAGATTTAGAGGGGCCAAATGTCCAAACTGTGTCATTCACCAAAGCACTCGGTTTTTGGATACTGTTATAGCCTGAAGGATTTTGAAAATATCAGGAAAGATGCATTATTGAAAAGTATTAGTAACAATGTACTTCAAAGCATTTACTTTTTCAATAGTTAAAGATGATTTTTTTCAAGCTCAGACTGATTTGGCTTAAAAGAGTCTTTGAGGTTCTTAAATCCCCGTGGCAAACTTATGTTTGTACAAGTCCACAAATAGTTAACTGAGCCAAGTAATTAAAGAGAGGAAAGTGGAAAACACTTTTTCTTAAATAAATAATAAAAATCCACCTGATTCTAGCAGACGTTGTCATATTGTCAGTATGGCATGCAGTCAGTGAGGCAGCAGTGGCTTTCTGAGTAACTGGAGCCTCTGTTCTTCATAGGCTGACCATCAAGTAATATATTAAATTGCAAACGTGCTAATCTAATCAGGATTTATGTTAATAGCAAACTAACTAGATTACCCTTGTAAAGACAACCAAGTTAAGAAGGACTAGAATGGCAATCTCTCTGCTTGCCATTGGAATTGCAAAAAACAAATTGGGTGTACATACAAGTGAAAATCTACATATTAAAATTGATAACAGGAATATGAAATTATTTAATGAGTGATAATAATTGCTGATTGCTTTTATATATAATGTTGCTTCATTTGATATCACTAGCTACTCCAGGTAGTTAGTATAGCAGATGCTAGTCTTAGTTTCTTCTTTGGGTTTAGTAACTGAGGCTCTGGGTGATATAATAATTGTCCATGGGTATATGGCAGAGGCAAGGCATGACCCCAGGCACAACTGCCCCCAATTTTTTAAATCTTACCACCATAACACAATGCACATAAATATTTTGAAATCCTTACTTGAAATCAACTTTGTAACCATTACTTAAGAGGAAGAAGGAGTGGGCATACTGAAGGTAAACGATGGAAGCATGGAGAGAATAGGAAAAAGAGGGATAAACAAAGCAAGACATAGTAGCAGAGGTGAGGGGAGGAGAGAAGGGGGAATGGAAAACAAACCGGCTAAGAGTCTAAGAACTGGGGATCACTGATTGTCACATTCCTAAATGTTGGGATGTAGATATGTAGCTATATGCCAGTCAGCTCTTTAGGAATTGTTTTTGTGGTTTATTGTAGTTGTTCCTTATCGGAAAGTAACCTCTCTTATTGGCCTTATTCTTTGAAGTTTGCAATTGATTTTTGGTCCTTTCTTAATTTTATTTAAAGAAGTGTTTATTTTCCTATAGAATACACTTTTATGTAAGTGTTTTGGATGACTTCAATTTTAGATATGCACCTTAGAAGTCTATATTTAGTCAATTTTTGCCCTTTATCCTTATGTTCTTTTCTTAGTGAACATTACATGAATTAAATGCTCAGCATCTGTATTTTTCCCATGACTTTTCATTGTTGAGCCTTTTCTTCCGATTCATGTCTAGAGTTTGATTATGGTGTTCTTTAATAATGTCTTTTATTTTTATGGCCGTTTGGCACATTAGCGAGATATATTTAGTGGATCACAATTCCTTTCCTCTACACTTAGTAGACATTTTCCCACTGTCTCCTGACCCGAATATGGTGCCAGTTAATACTTTATCACAGTTTTTCCATTTAACTATGTTTGGTTGAATTTAATTGTCAAATAATTTTTCCCTCTAGGTAGGTCATGGTAGCTTTATTACCTGAGTTCTTTTATGTTTGAGAATGACTGCTACTTTATATTTGAAAGGTAAATCGGCTCAGGGTAATATCCCTTGGTCACCTGTATCTTAAACCTTACACTGATTTGCCATATTCTGGCTCTGAATTCTGCTGTGAATTAATCTGAGGCCACCTTAATATTTGTTACCTCTGTCTCTCTCTCACAGCTTTCTTTCCTGACTGAATGCTTGAAGAATTTTTTGCTTAATCCTTGAAATTCAGTAACTGGACCAGAATTGTGTTTCAGTGTCAATAATTCAGCAGTCTTTAAAATGCAGGATTCTTTTTCAGTCTGTAGAATAAGTTATTCCTTAGTTTCAGAGAAATTCTCTTTGTATCTTTGAATTGCTTTTCCATTCTATTTGGCTTCCTCCTGCTTAGAAACTTATTTTCTTTATGTTCCATCCTTTTTAAACAAAGTATTATATTTTCTTCAATTGTTTAACGATTTTATTTCCTTTCATATTTACTGTTTTTATCTTCTATTTCAGTATTACTGAGCTTATCTTCTATGTCACCATTTCTATGTTCACCTAACTATAATCCACTCTTTATCACTTGATTTTAAAAAAGTAGTTCTCAAAATATGTTGCTTTAACTTTTTCTTTGATTTTTTGTAGTTCTTTTATTTTGATATAATTTCAAACTTACAGAACTTTTGAAAGTATGTACTTTATCCGGTTCATTAGCTGTCTGTCCTTTGTCCCATTTACACACAATTTTTTTTCTCAACCATGTGAGAGGAAATTATAAACATTGTGACTCTTATTCAAATTTATCATTTATTTATTTTATTACTACATAATATTTTACATATTTACATCAGCCTGCAATGGCAGTGCAGTGGTTGTGGCAGTAGAATTTGTCCTTGGGCATGTGACAATGTATCACCACCTCCTCTTGGAGGGGCCAAGGTTGCTGTTCATTATTCTCACATTGGCCCAGTGGTGATGACAGTTGCAGACAGGAATGTCAATGAGGTTCCAAAGATGTGGAGACGCAGAGGTTGTTGAGCCTGAGGATGGGACACAGTCTGTGGGGCTGAGTTCTCAAAATGGCAGAGTGCTGCAGCTGCTTAGGACTCAGGGGTTTGTGGGACCCGTGTGAGCTCACTCTCTAGAGCAATGCCATTGCATGTGTCTTCAGGTCTCAGGGCTCACAATATCAAGTGGTTCTCCCATGAATAGGATTGTAGAAGTCTGTGGCAAGAATGTAGACGGCTGGAGCTCTCTTACCCTTTATCCATGTTAGGTAGCCTCTTCAGACTCCCTGCCAATTCTGACCAAAGAAGCTACCTCATGTCCCTCATCCCTCTTATTCAGTTCTTTTGGTGCTCCCTGTCTCTTCTCTGCTAAATTCTAGTGTTCTCTCTTAAATGATTATCTACTTGCTATTTTGGTCCCTCTCTGTGGACAAGGTGAGTTCCAGATGCATCTAACCAACCAACCACCTTGACATAAAGTGGTCAACATTGTGACTCTTTACCAAAAATTATTTCAGTATGCATCTCCCCGAACAAGAACCTTCTCTTACATAATCATAGTACAATGATCAAAATCAGGAAACTTAACATTGATACAATATGATTATCTAATCCGCAGGGCATATTTACTATTTTATAAATTACCATTATGATATTTATTTAGTTTGTTTTTTCTGGTATATGATCCACATCCAGGAACAGGTGACCATTTAATTAGTCCTCTTTTTGATGCATGACATGCTGTTGCTTGAGCTTTGGAGATTAGTTTTGCTCTTTTAAAAATTTTTTCATTATGTCCTTTGTAGCCAAGGAATTGAGGAGAATTTTCTTAGACTCCTGATCCATGTTTCTACCAAATTGGTCTTTTATTTGATCATCCTTTACATGTTATAGATTTTGTATTCAAACTTGTGTCATTTTTGTATCTTCCTTGCCCATGCTTTTATGAACAAGTTTCTCTATCTTCTATTTTTTCTGATATAGTGAAACAAGATCTTGTGCTGGATGTCTAAGGACTTTGAAAAGAGATTCATTCCTTACTTCCTTTCAGGTACTTTTCTCCAAATTAGTGTGCTATTGGGGAGATTTGTCACTTCTTTTGATCCTTCCTTTCCTATTCCTAGTTTGGTATCTGTGTATTGGGTGGGAGGTGAGGTGGAAAGGATAGCACTCAGCCACCATCTCAGTGGATCTTCTTTATTTCTTTGTCAAAGTCATTATGTGAGCTTGCATCCCTGTCTTTCTTTGGTTCCTTTGTCATTTGATTTCATTTTTATTTTTCTGCTTTTCTATTAATTTTACTAGGGTTTGGAGGAGAGTCAATCTCGTCTTTACCCATCAATTCTTGCCTTACTCTAAATACTAAAAATCAAATATAAATATTTTTTGATAATCTCACATTAAAGGCCAATTCTGAAATGAAACTTGTCAATCTGAATCAGGTCTAGAATCAGGTCTGATTCTAGAAGGATAACCATACAGTTTTTAATTTAAAAAGAGGCTTCTTAATTTGATAATTGATAAATTCCATTATTTGTAAATGAAATAGTAATTTAAAAATAGTGTCTTTTTTTAACCATCCTAGTGTTTCAATTTCCTATATCATTTTTATGCTTCACTTTTTCTCATGTCACTCATTTTCTCATAACTAATTACTAGTATTTTCACTAGAACACATGACTTTTTGTCCACGAAAGCAAGCATATACTGG